CTTAAAATTACTCAATTAGTCAGAACATCGAAGCAAGGAGCAGATGAATTTTATTTATTTTTTTTAATCTGGAAGATTTTGAACAGCCATGTCTTCCTGCAAAGACAGTAAGCTGTTACAGTCCAACCACCCTGCAAAGGCAGTGGACATCCCAGAGAATGAAAAAAAAACAAATGCTGCAAACCCTCCTTAAAAACAAAACAAACCCCCAACAAGATCTCTGCCAAGAGGCTGTGGGTGTACATGCTATGGATGGAGACCAGGCTGGCAATATTTAAAAGAAGATTATATTATAAAAAAATAAAATAAAAAGAATTTGCCAAACTAGAAGAAATCGCTTCCGTGTGGCAAGTCAGACCAACAACATAATGAAACATATAAGACATGGTCATCGGGGCTAATTAAAATGGGGTTCTCAGTAGTGGTGACTTTGGGCCAGAGTCTTGCACTTTCCACTGTAGTGCATAAACAGCACCAAGCCAGGCAGGGGTGGCTCAGCCTCCAACGGGTCCTCCTCTTCCCTCAGCTCTAACGGCAGAGGATTCAGCTTCTGCTTCGCTTCAGTTTTCAAAGCATTCTTCAAATTAACAATAAAACCAGACCTACTTCCTTTAAATAAGATGCAGTGACGCGAACGTTCGAGGAAGCCTCTCACTACATTAGCAATAGGTCAATACTGTCCTTTTTCTGTCATTAAAGCATTGCTCTGCCCCATCGTAGACCTGCTGGAAGCTAAACCCAGCAGTGGCTCGCTCTCCCTGGCACCACTGCCCTGAACACTGCCCACAGCATTTCAGCTGACCAGGGGCTGAGGGATCCCGGCTGTGGTTTCCACTGCATTTATCATCGCCTAATTAGTCTTAGCGCTGCAATCCATGCACGAAAGGTTAGTAGACACAGTCACCCAAAGGCAGTGGTTTTAGCTTGTCCCCTGAGCCTCCCCACACTTCTTCCACCTTCAGCCGTCAAAAACATCTCTTTGGCTGCACAGTGAAGTGGATCACAGAACCAACCAGAATTAAAAAGTAACCCTGCACTGAGTCCGGTATGGGGCCCTTCAGTCCTGCATCCCGTCTCCAACAGAGGATGCCAAGGAAGTATTTAAAAACAGACCACACAGGGATGCTTCCCCCAAACACGCTCCTCACCTCCAGAGATTTACGGCTCAGAAAAACTTCTCAGTCATAGATGTGATCTTTGTATTTAATAGTCTTTCATGTATTTTTCTCTCATATAAATCTGCACGGTTGCTTTTTGCACCTATGTAAAACTCAACTTAATACAATGAGGAGTTTCACAGAACTTGCAGAGAAAACCACATTTCCTTGTTGCTCAGAGCCTGCCATCCGCTCGCTGCACCCATTGTCTCCAAACCTGCCCCAAGCTGGGTCCCCTCATCTGCTTTCACCTAAATACGCACCCTGGTACAAAGGACGCAGCAGCACAGGGATGGGATGAAGGACACAAGGCCAAGAGAACTACCCTGCCCGTTGCTACATACTGCCGTTCAGTTCAAAAAAACAAACCCCAAACAAGAGGAAAACCCACGCTGTGCACCGCATCAAAGAATCACAAGGCAAGAGGCAGTTCTGCTCCAAAGAGGTTACCACCTAACAAGATCAAAGAGCTGAGGATGGAAAGGACCGCTGAAGGAGTCAAAATGGCTTATAGAGGTCACGCTGGTGGGAGTTAAGGTCATGCCTGAGGTTCTGCCCATTGACCACCACTCACTAGGTCATACGATCGTCAATTCTGGTGGGAGTGGGCAGGTTCAGTAATTGAAGACATTTATGTAACAGAGACTGAGCCACAGCTGCTGACATCTGAACTGTGCTGCGTGCACGGGGCTGGATTTCCAGAAGACCTTGCTGACTATAGAAGATAAGAGCTGCAATGGGAAAGTGGTACCACCAGCACGGCCTGGCTGCTCTTTGCTTGTTGACCTGCACTGGTACGCTTCAGTGGAAACTTCAAGAAAGAAGGAAATGAAAAGCTAAAGAATTAATCTGAGCCTTTCTTTTCATTTATTCATTGGAATTTTTCAAGTTTTTCCAACTGAAAAAAATGTTCAGATTCCAGGAACTTTTCACTGTTAAATAAATAAATAAATGAATAAATCAATCACTTGGCAATGAACAGCTAGGCTCATCGGAAACCTTACATCAAGCAGTCCAAAGGATAACACACTGTTCTTGCATGTGGGAAACCCCAAATTAATTTTCCTGTGATCACTTTACAAAAGAGCCTAGCCATCACCCTGAACACCAGACAACAGAGTGACTCTCGTGCTAATCAATTCACGTTTAATTTACACTAAAAGCAAAAAGTATATGAAAACTTTCCGTAAAAATCCTTCAAACCACCTTGAAATGCCCTACCGGGCAGTAAGGAAACCAACATCCCATGAGGTGGGAGACACAACTGCTGGTCTTCATTGTAAATAAGACAAAGATGGGTCTGAACTCCTCTTCACTTATATTCTCTAACCCTGTGGTAGATGGGGACTCCCACTGCCTTCCTCTCCCACTTTATAACCAGCACTTCAGTCTCCCTGATAATCCAGCTCAAGATGAAGAAAACAAGGGGTGGGGTAAAGCCACCAAAACACTCCACTTTAGAAATGTTTCCAGCCCTGCCCTCCCCCCGTTTTATTTTGGTAAAAAGTACTTCGGTGAGTTAACCCAAATTCATGCATAGTTACTTGACATTTTCAAAATAGCTGAAATAGGGGGGAAAAAAAATTGAGATATTCCATGCAAGATTGTTATCTTAACAAACATTAAGGATTTTTTTGGAAGACAAAAAATCCCCAACTGTAAAGACATTATTATTCTTCCCTCAAAGGTTTGATCTGGGATTTCACAACCAAGAAATATGGGGTGAGGCACACGCATTGATCCTCCTGTCAAAGGTTTGAAAATTATTGTTCAAGGATAACCAACATGTCGGAAAAATTTAGCTGGCCTAGAAGTCAGCTGGATAATACTAAACTTTTATGAAGAATGAACATACTTACTGCTATTTAAAAACAGTCTTCTCTGAACCTTTATTCATATGGCTAAAATAAAAATTTTAAAACGTTTGGTTTCTAAGACTGACTCTCCAATCACTATATATACCACTGGTCATAGAGTCCTCAGTGGGAGAGGAGCTAGTCAGACGCCTTGGGTAAGCACCATAGAATTTTAAAAGTTCTGCCAGCCCGGATTTAATAGAAAGCTGGAGGACCTTCAAAACACAACAGCAGGATGGGCAGAGCCATCTCTCAGGGCTCAGCTCCTCAGGGATGCACATTTGGAGAGACCGGGAGGACAGAGGGCAGCCTTTCCGTTTATCAAGGACCTACAGGCATTAGCAAAGCCTTTGTGTTTAAGAACCCATGACACCTCTCGACCTGAGTGACTGAACAGAACCAAGCAACAACAAGCAAACGAGACAACGTATTTTCCTAGGCAAGAAAGAGGAAAATAGCACATCCACCTCACTTCCTAGCAAGGTACAGACACTGTGAGCTCCCCATCAAAATTACAGTCTTTTAACACATACAGTCGTGAATAGATGCTGGTGTTCAGGGACTAGAGACATTTCAGTGCTGGTCATCAAAACCTCAAATCACAGAAGACAGGTCGGCAGGGACCTCCAGAGGTCTCTGGTCCAGTCTTCTGCTCCAAGCAGGGCTAACTGCAGAGTCAGGTCACATTGCTCAAGGCCTTGCCCAGTCAACTCGAGAAAATCTTCAAAGATGGAGATCCCACCAACTCCTGGGCCCTGCCCCAGAGCACAAACAGCCTCCTCATGAAGAATTTTCCCCACATCCAGCTGGACTGTCCCTTGCTGCAGCCTGTACCGACAGGCTCTCCCCCATTTGCTGGGCACTCCTGACAAGTCTGGCTCCAGCTCCTCTGCCAGTCCACCGTGGAGGACAGTGGTTAGATCCCTCTTCAGCTACCTTGTCCTCAGACTAAAAAACACACAGCCTCTTCTACGCTATGAGTCTTTCCAGATTTTTCTCCATTTTTCTCACCTAAAGAGTCCGTATTTATTCCCTGCAGCACTCCAGTTATGGAAGTTATCCCACTGTGTCTCCATAAGTCCTACTACTTTCTTAATTGTCCCTTAATTGCTTCATAGGCTCCAAGTGTCAGTCCACGAGCACTGGGCAAGCACACATTCCCAGAAGAAGCCTCCCTCCTGCCCTGTCCCAGAGAGCCAGGACCCTGAGCAGAAACAGCACAGCAGTACAGGCAAACCACAATCACAGAGAGACCAACGTGGCAAAGAGACGTAGAATAGGACTATGCTAAGGAGGGATTTGAAAGGTAGGCCAGCAACCAAGTAATGAGAGATTACTTCTTTGAACAAACACAGGATCCTCAGGTGGGGCTGAGTTATGACTGAGGCGATAAAAAGCTCCTCTCCTCATTCCCCCTCAGGACATAATTTCTGATTTCAACTCTATGCAGATTCAGATTAGGCTTCAACTTAGCAAATCTCTTGAGCAGCAAGTGAGCTTCTCCTGCATCTCCTACTTTTAGGAGTGGCAGAAAACACATGGGGACACGATAGCACAAGCCATCCTCCTCCCTCCTTAGAAAAAAGACGACACATCAAAAAGCACAGAGCTCTGTTTTTCCCAGTGGGCATAAGCATCATTGCCTGGTCCCTTCCCCCTTTCAACTCATACAGCCTACCAGCTCCCTACTGTCTCAGAGCTCACAATTTACTATCTGTCCTTAATCTTCTCTTTGTACTAACAACACACTAACTGCAACATTTTTTTATACAACAACTGATAAGGCAGACAAGAACAAACAAGGAAATAGTGAGGAGGACATAGCTAAAAGTAATGGTGCATTCTGCAGTGCTTCCTGTCTTCTAACCACTGAAATTACAGAAAACCTAAACACTTCTTTGTCTGGAGCTTCATAGCCATGTGAAAATAAACATATGGGGAAAATGAAAACGCAATTCAAAAATACAGAAAAGAATGTAAAACTTACCAGGCTCTAACTTGATTATTTTTACAGCAGCCAGTTCGCCCGTATGAAGATTTCTAGCCTGAAATAAGAGAATTAAGACATATTTAATTATACTGCAAAGGCATCTCACACAGTCTTACAAACTGTGAGAAGATACACTATGATGTCATGTGTTACAATATGGCACAATGCAATTGGCCAAGAGGAATCTGGGTGAGGATTATCTGGTTTTGGTATTAGCACACCATCGACCTAGCTGTAGTTGAGAAGCGTTACTGGCAGATCCTTTCGAGACTTTAAAAAAACCCCAGCTATCTGTCCACAAATGAGAGTTCATGCCTCTCAAACACCATTTCTAAGGGTTCTCGAAACTGAGAAGTTTCTGCCATCCATGCTGGCTGGGGTGGTACAAAAGCACCATGCTGCAACGCGGACTGTCACAGCACAGAGCACGCAGTGCTCAACCACCCATCGCATGGTGCTAAACCTCAGCGTTCTCTGAAAGTGGAACCGAGAGGTGGAGGGGCAGGGAGAAGCACTACAGATGCTGCACGGATGAGTCACAGCTCCCTGAGAACAACTTAACTCCGAAAACAAACTCCTTCCAGCAGACCCTGACAGAGGCGAGTGGTCCCCACGATCCTCAAGAAGAAGGGGTAGGGAGCTCCAAGTAAGTCTTTACAGAATTGCCCTCTCCAGGTACGCTGTAAACTTCAGTGAGAATTCAGTGCTGGAGGAAAATGTTACAGGAACATCAGATATAGAAAGTTTTAAGAACGGATTTCACTAACACTTAACTCTAGTAAAACGTGCTCTAAATCACTTGGGCACCATCACCAGAGCTAAACTGTATTATTTTTGACACACAACCTGATCTGATTAGGCACTGTGGCATTCCCCTTTTGCTGATCACTCAAAAGGTACAGGAGTCTAAGCCCAACTGTTTCATTCTTACCCTAACAAACATGCAGAGTCTTCTGAACATATGAAATCTGGTTAAGAGAGAGATTATAGAAAATTGAGGGAAAACTGGGGTAAGTGAAATCAATTTGGGCAGTTACTTAAGATGAGGATGCAAAGCAAATTTGTCCCTGTGGACTGAACTGAAGGAAGCCGCTACAGAACAAAACACTCTTCTCTTGTGTATGGACGAGAGGTAGTCTTAATTTAACAACAGGTAAAGCAAGAACTTGAAAGATGAACCCCTCAGTTTTGTCAACACTTAGCCATGCTTTCAAATCGGGAAAGGCTTTCCAGCCAGGGGGGAAAAAACCAAACCCAACCAACCAATAATTGGCCTTTGAAAGTCCTGTAGTGCTCAGCCAAGAGATGGGTGTCAAAAATGAATGCCAAGGACACAAATATGACTCAACTGAAGTCAAAAAGAACCTGAACAATTGCACAACAGAACCAAACATCTGAAGCAAACGGACCAAATCAATGGACACAGAAACAGATAGCGATCTGCTAATCACAAAGGAAACCTTTACCACTTCTTTAAGTTTCTTCCTGTAAGACATGCTTTTTAGGCCACAGGAAAATCATTGGTACCCTTCTGGTATCCTTCAACATCCAGAACCATCTAAGCGTGAACAAAGGATTAGGACCTCTCCGGTCTCCTACCACCACACCTAACAAGATGAAACACTGATGTTCCCATAAGAGACCAAGCGCAGTATCTTGGTGAAGCCAGGGAACCTCTGCCATCCACATTTGTATCCACAAGCAGCTAAGCCGTTCAGATAAAGGAGAATGCATAGTTTCCAGAAGATCAGCTTCATTTCTGAAGTAGATCGTATTCCTTACCGATATTCCTTTTCCATATAAGTAATAACTGCTACTGTTATGCTGAAGTCTGAAAGAATGGATGTAGCCTGCCAAAGGCCCTTGGTACGCAGACAGCTTGGCAGGGACTTGAAGGTTCAGGCCAGAGAAGCTCGCTGCAATTACTGGCTCTCACACACAATAGACCATGGAGCTTCACCAAATTATGTCCTGCTGCTATCCAGTATCACCATTAAGTTTTTGCACATAAGCTATAGCCTGGACATGGACAATTTTGGGTTTCAACCATCAAATTTGTCTGCTGGAATGGAAAGCTCTTCACTGGATCGGTATTAATGAACTAAACACATCTCACCCTAAGACTGGTTCTCTGGTCCTACATTTTAATCTTCCAACTGAACACACTTCTCCAGTTGATGACACCAGGACCACACATGCTACCTAACCCCTATCATGCCAACAGCAAAGGCAAAAATGCTAAGTATTCCCTGATCCTCAATATCCTTCTTTGGATGCTCAGAGACACAAGAACTGTATTGGGTTTTCAATCTAGACAGTTGTATTGCAAGCATGCAGCAAATTACCCAGACTGATTGCTTCCCAAGAGAGATCACCTGCCCACAAACATGACTGATGGCTTTTGTTCCTTCATCTTGGATTGCACCAGCTTTACAGGGGTACACACATCCCTCTCGGCTGTCACTCTTGGTTTTTAAACCTTTATCTTCACACCTTTCTGTCTGCTGAAAACTCAATCAATAATGAATTACTGTTATCTTGCACATCATTAAAAATGTAAGAAAGTGCAGGCTAAAAAACCTAGTTCTCCATGGTACACAGCTAGATATGAAAACTATCAAATAAGGATTCCTCAAATCATTTTGAGACATGTTAGTTAAAGAAATTCTCAACTTATTTCCTATGAGTCACTACAGTTTGCTTTGTTCTACTTTTTAAAAAAGAATTGTGTAGTATCAAGAAGTCACAGACAGCAATGCCGTACATCAACATTGCTACCTTGTGAATCAAACCTGAAATTTTACTACAAATGTTATTTGACAAAAATGTAAGTTCTCCATAATTTCCCTGATGTGAAGAATTAGGTAATGATCAATCAATTTGTCATACTGATATACTTCTTCACTGGAGGGAGGGAAATTGAAGCAAAGCTAAAGAAATTATACTTCTCCTAGTCATCTTATTTACATTTTTAAAGCCCAACAGCAAAATATCTGCCTCCTTCCTGTCCCCTGAAATTCCCTCAGTATTTCAAGTCTTAATTCAAAATTAGCTGAAAACAACCAGAGGCCAGGGGAACTGTTCTCCCTTGCACGCCAAGACCTACCAATTAACACATATAGCTGCTGTTCAGTATCTCATGAGCTATTACTGACGTAGCAAATTATCATTCATATGCATTTATCACATAAATATGACATATATATAATGAACTTTGATGAACTTCTGAATTCTAATATTTCAGTCTAATGGAAGATAAAACCTGTTAGATTTCTCATTGTCTTTAAGTCTGCTGGTCTTGATTCCTTCAATATGTAAGGAAGTCTCCTAAGAACTCATCTTGACACTAAAAGCTAGAAGACAAAGCTCAGCACTTGCGTAGCTCCCTCCTGTGCTGGAGCCCACATCCCCATCACCAATGTGGTCAGGTTCCCATGGGACAGAAGTGGAGCCTGACTTCCCCGGCAGATCAGGGGACTTGCTGGAAAGCTTTCCCCAAGAGGAAGACAGAGCTTTTGCTATCTGCTAGTCTTGATCTCAATTTTATTTAATGAGACTCTGAACTGAAAATCACGTTCCATGTTACTCAAAATGAAAATTAAAACGATAGGATTTTGGGAGAAAGATTGCAAAGCTCCAACAGAAAACTTGACCTACACAAGAATGGCACCAGAACAAGGGTATATTTGAATGAGGTGAGCCACACAGTCAGATTTATTTTGCTCAATGTCACATACAGAGTGTATTTATTGAGAAAGAAGAGCTAGGTATTAGTCTTTTGGTCACCTCTTCTTCAGCTGTCCTACAGCCTGCTATAGGATTAGTGACAGCATGACACTGAGCATGGCTCTTCCAGAATATTTTAGCAGCTAAATACTAATACCACAGAACATCACACAGAGTCTGTGTTCAAAATAAAAATGGGGATCTGCATGGTGCCTGCTGCAACAAGGACCAGCTGCAGACAGAGCTTGTGTTAGGCCATCGGTCCAGGAGCAACACACGTTATTCCAATCTAGGCACAATGTCAGTGGTGTGTCTCAACACCACGCTCAAAAATGAGAGGTGCACTATTAGTAGGACTGGGATTTTTGGGAGTTGGGAGAGTTTCATGGTATTACACACAAAAAATCATCAGGTTTTCCCACTGAGAGTTAACTTTCTTCTCAGAACTGCATCAAAACGCTGTTGTGGGACAGTGGAACCCAACATGACAACCGTGGCAATCTCTGTGTACGATGCTTCCCACCACACACCCAAACAATACACGAGAGAACACATTTTGGGTAGGACACTTTCTATAGCTAATGACCAGAAATAACACAGAAAACTGGTTTCAGAACCAGTTACCCACTCTGCAGTTTTGTTTAAGAGTGCAGGCCAAACAATTCCACCCCAGGGGGTCCACAGTACTAAGCCATGTGAGATGGTCAAAAATTGGAGAATCATTGCACTTGGACATCTGAACACAAGTTTATGTGCTCAGTCTCCTTGTCCAGCTACTTTCCACTTCAACACTGAGGAAGAGAAGGGGAAGATTCAACCAGCAATATTACTCTCTCAGCCTCCAGATTAGTATTTTCAATTTCCATGGTGAAATGCCCTCCTCGCCCTAGCGTTGTCTGATCTCCAGCCTTGCATCAACAGCCCAATTCACCAGAAGAGCCATTTGTTCAACTGTGTCTTCATTTAATCTAATCATAATTGCAGCTCCTGTGGCAACCCTCCCATGCATCCTCCACTTATTCATTCCTTGCCAAGCTTCACTCATCAGTGACCGCAACATTTTGCTGTTTCAAGTGCTGCCTCCTTCTCCTCAGTTGCTGTATATATCTTTAAAAGGTACCCTGACCTCCTGCCCAGCGATTGAAATAAAAGCTTCTCATCTGCTTTCTAGTTTCTGGCCTCTTACGCTTTGTAACTCTTAACCTGCTCTATGTGGCTTTGCTGAATCTTTCTTTCCATATCTCACAGTCTCAAACCGACCCTTGAATTCACCTACCTCTGTCTCTGAACCCACATCTACCACTGCCTAGAGTTCTCAGCCAA